ACGTTTGCGAAACTTCCACCCAAATTATAACTCGATGTTCAATTACCAGTTAACATAATTTGAGTCACTGGCGAAATATACAATTTTTGTGTTTGTTTAACGTGCAAATTGAGTAACTCGAACTTTAATAAACAGTTAAATGAACGTCGAGTTACGGACAGCATACAACTCGATGTCCGTAACTCGAACAATTCGCCATCTCGCTCTCCCACGGTTTAGCTGACTGAACGGTCCTGCGAACATTATCTTTTTGGCTGGAGTTACAGCACACTCATCGGCAACCTCACTTGGTGGTACGAATTTGTCGCCGAGGGCGCAGTAACCCATGATCTATACTTAGTCATGGTATTCTAAATATTGGCAGACTATGATTCGGTGCAACTATACTGCGTGTGAGCGTTTATAGCTAGGTACAGTTATACGTACAATTTCTGTCTTTTACCGATAAACAAATCAACATCATACTTACACAAATTCGACAAGTCCCAATCCACCTTTGTCTGGTGCTCGCCAATAATAAATAAGACTGTTTTTATCTCCGTCATTGGCGTGAGTTACCGTGTCGTCTCTGTGATTACACTCTGTCAGCTTTGTATGGAGGGGTGGATTGATGAACTGCCCGATAGGTGTATCTGAGTCAGGAAGACGAGCTTGCATTATTACACCTTTGTAATCTCCTCCGATGATGTGAACTGTAAACAAATAAATGTTTTATTCCACTAAGAGATTGAACATTAGAAAATCGAGTGGCAGATGGCTGACAAATGCGCAAAATGTTGTTTGCCTGATATTCACGTTTTTTTGGTTGTGTTTTGTTTTTGAAACAAAAAAAAAATAAGTCCGAGGAGGAATTTTGGTCATTTTTTCTCTAAGAGAATTTCTGGGGAAATTACTAATATTTTATCCTTGGTATGTACTGACGCCCCCCCCCCCTCCATCGAACTTGATTTTTTTAAAGATTGCATGCCTATGTTTTACTCGAGTACCCCGGGTCATTGTAATCATTTTGTAATTTCAAAATTGCTTAAATGAATGTATTCAAAAATAGTAGTGTTTTCGTCACCATTGTTTTCAGAAAAGTCTATCACATGACTATTGAAGATCTTTCACAAAATTTCCTTTTCATCTGTCCCTTCGCATGATTTCGTATTCGTTGAAGTCTCTCACTACAAACGGTGGAGGCAGTGAGCTGGAATATATACCTTTAAAGCTCAAGATGATCTCTCCACGAATAGTTTTAAATTTGTTTGAACTTACCTGTTTATTTTCGCTAATTCAATACATTCTTGTCAAAATCATTGGCTCTTGGGATGTCTTCAAGTAACATTAAACTCTGACCACTAAGTAACACCCTACGTTCAATGTAACACTACATAACTTAAGATTGACCAGTAATTTACCGTCGTATATCGAGTCATATGTTGTTCACTTACCGTTGACTATTCCACCGGGCACGTACACATCCTGTGCTCTGATGGTGTATGGTCCAGGCTCATCTTTGCCATGCAATTGGTATTTGGACTCTACTCCGTACACCGTGAAATGTCCGGGGTCCATATCAATACATGCAGTCCGTGGAGCTCCCCATGGATGAGGACTGACACGGCCAACGCAACACCACAGTATTGCGCTCACAATACCGACGACGTTCATTTTTGGGGCAGTGGTTCATTTATTAAGTAAACTATGATATGTGTTTTATTGACATTAGCATAAATTAAAATAAACATTTAACGAGGAAGTTGTGAGTAATGGTATACATACGTGCAACACATGTCAGTAATTGCTTCGCGCACAGTCCCTATATAGTCTATATAGAGGGACTGCTTCGCGCAAGTTTCAGGTTCTGCTGACGCGCATGCGCGTTTGAAACCCATAATCTCCCATATCTATCTTGATATCACATTCATCTAATATTTTTTCGTGGTAGAGTGTATTTGAATAGGGCAATTTACTTGAACAATCACTGGCCCATACATTGGCGTTGAAAACAAGTAAACAGACTTGAAATATATTGCGCTTAACTGGTTAAAACATGGACGTGATTTCTCACGTCACCCCTTCTGTGATCAAGACGATGCATGATATGGGTAATTGCATTGTCTGTTCGTCTGAATAAAGATGAGTTCAAAGGGCAGTAACATAATCATAATAATTGCATTGATGAATTATGGAACATATTTAATTAATCACTGTATTCCTCAACCAATTTACGTCATGTTAACGTCATATAGGTTCTTCGTCGCTAGAGGGCGCATCTTTTTAGTACTAGTACATGTATGTGCAATCACCGTCCGGACGGTGGTGCAATGTACACATGGATCACCGACATGGCTATAGTTGGGTGTGGATATTCCACGAACACTAATCCTACAATAACCCTTAATCTCTACTCCATCCACAGTGGAAGTCTTGATAAACGATGAAAATATGAGCCAGTGATTTCCCAGATTTGCAAAGAAACGTGCCTGTAGATATTATTTCACTGCAAAATACTTCCGACGCAATAACTATTTTGCCGCGTTTAACAGAGGGCAACTATATTTTCCAGAGAGCGATTTGCGCAAATATATGCTTCAGTCATGTGACTATTAATAAAACCACAGTCCCTCTAGAGGAACTCTGATAAAACATTGCATTTCGTACTGTATTGTTCTTTAGATTGGTTACTCAGTGTGTGATTTTAGATGGGGAACACAAACCTTCTTCGAAATAACATTGTATGTCACTTTATGGAGCGCCGTGTGGTGGTGATACACTTTTGAAAAGTACAGTTGGCTGACGGACCCACAACTATATTTATGTTGGTGGCGCTATAATGGACAAATACACGAATTTTGAAGAAATGTGGATCCGAGTGCAATGGAAACAGTATTTTGGGAAAGTTATCTAAAAACAAAAAAAAAGTTGAAGACAAAAGCCATTTAATTGGATTTTGGAAGAGATCTTGATCTGATTGCCAATATTTTACAGAGCTACTATATTCATCTACACCTCCACGTCAACTTTTAAAATACTGAACCAACATTTTTCTCAATCATTAATTAATTGTATTACTTTTGTTGTTCAGTAAAACAGAAATTTAAAAAAAAAATCAATAGAATTAGTAAGTAACCACTGAATCCGAGCAAATTGATATTTTATAATTAATATGCATTTTTCAACTATAAGTTGACAAAGGTGTATATGTATTATTCTTATTTCCTTGATGACAATTACTATTATTTTTTTTTCTATTCATTTACATTATGCAGACATCAGGCTTTTTTGTCTTCGTCCACAACAATCTTGTTTCCATTAAGGTAGAGATGCAGTTTATTTGTGAATTCCAATCAAAAATAGTTTTTTTCGTTTTTCATATAGATTTTTATCTAAAGAACATTCTGTGAAAATTTGACCAATGAATTCTTATTGGAACACCGTTAAAATTGCTGTTTATTTTCTGGTTAAAAATAAAAAACACTCACACGTGGCAATGTTTATGTCCAATTGCCTAATTTGCACGAGTAACCAAATAACAGGACCTTTGATTGACAATATGCAAATCGAGATGTACGGGTCATAGTTCATTCAATCAAAGACAATAGAAACTTTCTAATGTCTTTGATTCAATTCACGCATCATTCAGGAATGATTGAAATGTCCGAAAATGACGCCAAAATACACCCTAAAAGTCCCATTTTATTTTTTTCTAAATCCCATCCCGAATTTACGGCAGAATCTGGTCCCTCAAATAAGGGACACATGAGCTTTGATTCTAACCGGATATATTGCACTGGGTCGGGGAGATACAAACTTTCGTGTATCTTTTGTCTAATGGGTACCTGTACTTCGATCATTCGCAAGTTTTGCTAGTTAGTGCGAGACAGCTTTGTTTGCAACCGGACGAACTCCGTTTAATTCAATGAAGCAAGCAACTGACAATGCTAAAATAAATTGCAGAGGTACGCTAAAATTAATTGAAAACAAGCAAATAATTTCAATGAAAAATAAATCACAGAGAGAGGTAACTTGATACATTAACAACTCTTTTGACGCACTGACCGCTTCTCCGCGTCTGATGTTTTGTTTTCCTTGTCATAATACTTACTGATTGATGATTTTGTTTTGATTTTTGAGTTTTTTAGCCTGCAACTCGGCCACGACCTTTGCTTTTTCCGTGAAAAATGGGGAAGTTTACGTCAATTTGACGGAGATTCCATTTTTTTAAAACTAACACACTGTTTAGCACTCCGATTTTTTTCATTTGCTGATTTCTATTCGGAAAAATTCGACCGCTCGAAAATGCACCTTAATTTTGCACTCTTAAAACATGTCAGATTTCCAACACTAATTATTTAATCCAACACAAATTATTTAAAACCGGTCGAAATTTTTGAACTTTTACGTTGTAGTACAACAGCATGTTTTGTACGTACATCCGTGCGCTGATTGTCTGCGACTGTCTTAGAAAATCCCTGAATAAGGTTACCAAAATCGTAAAAAAATAAAAAAAATGCCTCCTTAAAAAACGAACAGAATTCAAATATTTCTTTTAACAAATATGTTGCAGTGGGAAAAATGGGATTGGAAACGTTGAACAAAACTTCTGTGCCTCGCGTTTCGATTCTAGGATTACGCGATTTGTCATTATTGTGCGTTCGCTTCCTGGAGTTGGTTCTCAATACTACATAACAATTATCGAGGATAAATAATTTAATATCCCATTTTGTACTCTTCACAGTAAACCATAGGCTCTGAAATACTCGTAGATTTTTTATTGAAAATACATCGAAGAGAAGCCATGATGTTTTGATCGTGATAAAAGGTCACCTTCCTAAGACCGCCTCCTGTTTAATAATTCATGAGATGACGTCATATTTACTGGGCATTCACACGTGTTTTTACCGACCCCATCAAAACACTGGTATGAATGACGTGTTTCTGATTTATATATTCAAGAGCAGTTGTTCTGGTCCAACGATTTTACATAAAATGTCTATGTCTATACGTTAACTTTCAATTTCAATAGTCTAGAAGTATGACAAAGTATGACAAAGCAGTTATTCCCGGTTTAACGCGCAAATATGCAAATTAGCCTTTTTCTCGTCTTCTATTTTTGG